TTCCATCCATCCATCCATCCATCCATCCATCCATCCATCCATCCATCCATCCATCCATCCATCCATACATACATACATACATACATACATACATACATACCTCTCTCTCTATATATATAGAAGTATAACAGAGATTGTTCGTAGTGGGGGGGGAGGTGTGAGCAGGAGGGAGCAGGAGGAAGTAGGGGGCGGAGGAGGAGGGAGCAGGAGGGGGTGCGAAGAGGGGTGGAGGAGGGCGGAGGCGGGAGATGACTTCTGCTAAAGTTGGCTGATCAGACTTAGGCTGGCCAAGCACAATCTCACCCGGCTTGAGCAGGAGGGAGCAGGAGGAAGTAGGGGGCGGAGGAGGAGGGAGCAGGAGGGGGTGCGAAGAGGGGTGGAGGAGGGCGGAGGCGGGAGATGACTTCTGCTAAATTTGGCTGATCAGACTTAGGCTGGCCAAGCACAATCTCACCCGGCTTGGCCCATTGAGCTGAACTTTGCGTGGTGCGCAGAAGTGCACACGGGACCTGTTCAACCGAAGCCGCGTGATCAGCGTGAGCCTAAGTATCTTCGCTAGCCCACAGGTCATAGCCACATATCAAGTCGGCCCGTTCTTCGAACCATTTTCACTTCAGGATCGCTGGCAGGTAGCCTTCAAGCTTGCCTGCCAGACGAAAGCGCAATCAGCCAACACGAGCGTGAAATGTTGGGCGGCCTGATCAGCGCTAACATTAGAGCTCTCTCTCTCTCTTTCTCTCTCTCTCTCTCTTTCTGCCTCCCTCCCTCTCCATCTCCGTCTCTGTGTCTCTCTCTCTCTCTCTATCATTCGCTGGATAGCTCTATGGGAATGTTCGGAATGGTTCGAGAGGTGTAGACCCCCGCTCGCTCAATCCTGGCGCCCCTGCGTACGTACCTCCCCCCCGATACTTGTGGCGCTGACGCCCAGCCCGACCACTGCGCTAATCTTGCTGAGTGCCATTGCGAGCTCCTGGCCACTCAGGACGTCGGTGAGGGACGTGGTGGCCATCACCGAACTCAAGAAAGCTGTCATGAGGCCTTTGACCACCCGGCACGAGAGCACCACCCGTCTGCTCCCTGGGAACTTGGCGATCAACGCCTGCGCAAGAAAAGTTGTGGCCGGGCCGGCCACAAAAAAGGCCTTGCGGCCAAGAGAGTCTGACAGTTTGCTGCCCACCTGGTTGACTATCAGGCCGAGGGCTCCTATCAGCCCTGCAGTGTTCCCCAAGAGCCTCGCCGCAGCCGCCGCGTCGCCTCCAGAGAGCTGTTGCACGAGCCGCGGCTCAGACTGCAGCGTGATCACCTGCTGGCACACGCCGCAGAGCATGGAGAGACACCTCGGTCGGAGGGTGAAAATGAACAAGAACGAGAGGATAAAGAGGATGGAGGGCGAGGCGGATCGGGGCGGTTGCGATCCATGGCAGCCTGCCCTTACAAGAGAAGCAGCTCGTGGCCGCTCTGCGATGGGCAGCTGGGTCCTCGGAAGCACCAATGGCATGCAGCCTGACAACACCATCCCCCCGGGGAATAAACGCCCCGCAGTTTGGAATCCAGCCCCGGCTTGATCCCAGCATGCAACCACGCCGCAGCCCAGTGCATGAAGAAGGAGGACCAGTAACCCAATTTGGCATTTTCACTCACTCAGTAGAGCGCTTCGTGGCCCCATAGGGAGCTCCACCGAAGCCCTCAGTGGGACCGTCCGCATGCGTCCCGGAAACCCAATTCGGCACACCACCCACACAGTGCGTTCCCCCCCGCCCAGTGCAGCGCTTCGTGGCCCCATAGGGAGCTTCACCTAAGCAGATATTCACAAGTACGGTACCCACAACTGCATATGGTTGGGATCTTTGCCAGGATAATGTTTTACCTCCTCTTCTTCTTCCTCTTCTTCTTATTATTGTTATTATTATTTTCCTTCTTCCTTTTATCATTAATATTCCTCTTCTCCTCCTCCTCTTCTTATTATTAATCTTATTCCTCTTCCTCTTATTCTTCTTCTTCCTCCTTTTATCATTCGTAGTAGTATTATGTTTATCATTATTCCTCTTCTTATTCTTCCTCCTCCTCCACTTCTTCTTCTTCTTCTTCGTTTTCTTCATCCTCTCCTTCGCTTTCTTCTCCTTCTTCCTCGTTCTGCCCCTCTGGTCGCGGCATCGTCCCGTGCCAGATCCCACTTCAGGAGGTGGCGTAGAGGTTGGCACCGAAGGCTCAGTCCATGTCAGCAAATCAGAAACCTCACCATGAGATATCTAAGGGCGCGCTCGAGGAGGATAGAGGATCGAGGGGGACCGATGCTTGTGGATGCTTTGACCCTGCTTGGGCCTCCAGAGGCCTCTGGAGACCCAGCGTCGAACTTGGGACACTATGGGATTCCCGGGTCAAAGGATTCAGAGAATCTCAGAATGGCCTGTTGGCACCAGGATATTCCTTGTATGCTGAGCATGCTGCCATCGCGATTTGCCTCTGGAGCCACGAAAAAAACTCACACGGTTCGAAGACGCTGAGAGCGTTGCACGGCGCGTGTCACCTGCTGCTTCCGCGACTCTCGCTCCGCCTCATCTGGGCCGCAGCGCCTGTCACCTGGGCCACGAATGTTTGGAACCGCCTCGAACATGCCTTCCTCGCTCCCCGACCTCCCTCCGCCTCTCCACCCTCTCGAGAAGCAAACCTCACCCAAGGTGGGCTCGCAGCGTGGAAATTGACAATTGACGCTCGGGGCAAGGTGGCCCGCCGGGCCCCGATCGGCACCCAGCCAGGCCCCTCCTGGACACCATCTTGACAACTTCACGAGCAGAGCCCAGCCGTGGCGACGAGGACCCCTCGAGGCGAGTGCCGAGCACGTCGAACACGCTTGTGTAACAGGGCTCCCCCTTCCTCCTCCTCCTCCTCCTCCTCCTCCACCTCCTCCTCCTCCTCCTCCTCCTCCTCCTCCTCCTCCTCCTCCTCCTCCTCCTCCTCCTCCTCCCCCCTCCTCCTTCCCCCTCCTCCTCCTCCCCCCTCCCCCCTCCCCCTCCCCCTCCCCGAAGCCCTCAACGAACCGAACCTCTTGGCCAGTCGGCCCTGGTCGCCACGCGCTGGCACGCATCGCGAGAGGGGCTGTGCCACGCGGCCCCATCGTGCCAGAAGGCCCTGGAGGCTCCCGGGAAGCAAGGGGGGGGTTGGGGGGACCTGGTCGCCATGGCATTAGCGGCGCAGGTGGGCCGTGCCAGTGGGAGCCTCCTAGATGGGGTCTGAGTAGATTGGGTCGGAGGATCGCGCCGCATCGCCAGTGAGTGCATCGGCGCTGCATCGCGATGCATCGGGGATACATCGGCGATACATCGGTGATGTATCGGCGACGCCAGCGATGCATCGGCGCCATCGGCGTGGGTAAATTCACGCCCCACGTCGGGCCACATCGCCGATGCAGCGGCGATGCGGCGCACTCCTCCGACCCCACCTGCTCGGACCCTCCGAGAACAACGTCTCGACGGAGGGGGGGGGACCTGGCCGCCATGGCGCTGGCGGCGCAGGTGGGCAGCGTGCCGGCGCCATGCCCCACGCAGCCCCACTGCGCTGGGAGGCTCCTGGCACGCGCTTCTCGGCGGCGAGCACGGGGGGGGAAGTGAGCAGGGGCGGGCCCTCCCCGAAGGCTCAGGAGTGCCCCGGGCTTCCGAGGAGTTCTCTGAGCCCTCCTCCAAGGCACGAGGAACCCCTCGGAATGCGCGAGGGCTTCGGAGGAGTCCCGCCGCCCTCTGCGAAGGCCTCCTCCTTCTCGCTTCCCCCCCTCGCTCGCCGCCGAGCTTCTGCGAGGCCCCCGACGGTCCGGCGGGGCCTGGCCGCCCCGCGCCCATCCCCCGCGCGCTCCGGCCGCGCTGGAAGTGTCTCTCCGGGAGGCTCTCCGTGTGGGGAGAGCCTGGGGAGCTCTCCGTGGCGGGAGCACGCAGAGGTACCGCTGCTGCTCCGTGGGGGAGCGGTACAGCGAACGCGCAGCACAGGGGCGCGCGGCAAGGGTGCAGAGGCCCTGGAGGGCCACGTTGGCGGTTTTCGAGCGAGGCTGGCCAGCGAGAGTCGCGTAGGATGGGCCGAAGGGGCAAGGATGCAAGGGCAACGACCCTTGGGCCCTGACCTTCCAGGAAGGCTAAAACATAGCACCCGACCTAAAAACCCATCCCAGAGCTACTCTATGTCTGGGTTTTAGGGCATTCCGTTCATTTTTGTAGGTTTTTATTCCTCCAGTGCTAAAAAAAAAGCTCTCTGGAAGGTCAGGGGGGAAGGGTGCCCGTCCTTGCTATGCGGGCTGACTGCAGAGGTACCGACACCGCTGCTCCCCAGACCTCTCCCAGGGTGCGTTCTGACCAAGCGTTCGAAGCAACTCTGCCCGTGGCGACGAGGGCAGGAGGCCTGTATCGGCACCTTTCCCTCCCCCGATCGAAGGCTATTTCTTCGGGTCGGGAGCTCCTGCTTCGGGCCTCGAGGAACAACACCTGCCAACTGTGGTTCCTCGTGGGCCCCTGAACCAGGGGAGTTTTCTGGCCAGGATTCCGAGGCGGATCCAGCCGCGGCATCGTTCTCTTTCACTCCTCCGATCCAGGAGCTTCTTTAGGCGGCGCGCCAGGGGGGAAGTGAGAATGGGCGGGCCTTCTCAGAAGGCTCGGAAGCTTCCCGGCCTCCTGAGGTCCTGAGCCTTCCCCGGCTTTCCGCTCGCACGGGCGCCTCCCCCCACCCATTCGCATGTCCTCCAAGATCTTCCTTGTCCGTCTCGCCATCTAGGGGGAGGAGGAGTAGGAGGAGGAGGAGGAGGAGGAGGAGGAGGCGGAGGAGGAGGAGGAGAAGAAGGGAGAGGAGGAGGAGGAGGAGGAGGAGGAGGAGGAGGAGGAGGAAAGCCTCTCAGAAGGCCCGAGAGCTTCGGAGAAGTCCCGCCGCCCTCCTGAGAAGGCCTTCTCCTCCTTCTCGCTTCTCCCCTTGGGCGCGCCACCGAACTGAGCTTTTGGGTCATACCTCGGGTCTCCGGCGACCGTTCGGCGGGACGATCCGGGCACCCCCGGAACGCTCTCGGCGAGGAGCAGCCGCTGGAACGCATCCCGAGGGTGGAAGCCGGCCAAGACAAACTACGGAAAGGCCTGAAAACTTCCGCTCGCTCGCTCGCCGCCGAGTCACGAACAAAATTAGGAGTTCACCTCGCCGCCGATTCTTCTTCTTCGGGCCCGGCCCGCGCGGTCGCCCGCGCCGTAGCTTGCCCACGCCGCGCCCTCGGCGGCCGCCGGCGCGCCACCCGCGCCGCAGCTCGCCATGCCCGGCGGCGGCGGGGCGCGCGGCGGCGCGGAAGCGGATCCGATGGGTCTGTTTTCCACCACCACCACCACAAGTTGGAGGGGGAGGGGGTCCTCCTCCTCCTCCTCCTCCTCCTCCTCCTCGTCCTCCTCCAATCTCTTCTCCTCCTTCTCCTCATCCAATCTCTTCTCCACCTCCTCCTCCTCCTCCTCCTCCTCCTCTTCGTCCTCCTCCTCGTCCTCCTCCTCCTCGTCCTCCTCCTTCCCCCCTCCAACTCGTGGTGGTGGTGGCAAACAGGCCCATCGGGATCGCGCCGCGGCCGCTCCCCCCCATGCGGCTCGGGGTGCCGAGGCCGCGGAGGGCGAGGAGCCAAGGCCGCGAGGGCAGAGGGCCCCCGCGGGGCACAGGGCCGAGGGCCGCGGAGGGCGAGGGCCGCGGTGCGGAGGGCCTGCGAGGCGTCGGGCCCGCTTTCCACCACCACCACCACCAGAAGTTGGAGGGGGAGGGGGTCCTCTTCCTTCTCCTCCTCCTCCTCCTCCTCCTCCTCCTCGTCCTCCTCATCGTCGTCCTCCTCCTTCCCCCCTCCAACTTATGGTGGTGGTGGCGGTGGTGGTGGAAAACAAGCCCAGGGTGCCTCGCACGGCCGCCTCCCGAGTCCTTCGAGCAAGCGACGCAGCAGGATCGGCCGAGGAGCCCTGGAGAGGGAAGCAGAACTGCGGCGCGTGGAGGCGCTTTCGAGACGCCGGCAGGATCGAGCCGCGAGGCCCGGGAGGCATCTGGCATTGAGAGGCCTGGTAGCGTTTTCAAGGCACCTGATAAGACGGGAACTTGCAATGCTCAGTGTATCGATCGTGGTGTACTGTGCCAAAGAGCTGTGCTGTGCTGTACCGTGCTGAGTTGAGGTGTGGCATGCCGCGATTGTGCTCTGTGGCGTGGTGGATCGAGTCGTCCTCAGCATCCGAGTCCAAACTGAACTGATTTGGATCTTCAGCTAGAGCTGCCTGAGCGCATAGCTGGCCCAGAGCTGGTTGCGGTCGAAACGTGCGGACGATTCATCAGCTCGAGCTCAAGATCCGACTCAATTGCGAAACGGGACGAGACGGCACGGGGCGCAGGGAACACGGACGCGCCACGGGATGTGCCAGGGGCGCGCTTGGGGATGCGCCAAGAGGCGTGTCAGGAGACGTATTGGGGGACGTGCCCTGGACGTGTCAGGCACCTGCCACGGGACGTGCCAAGGCGCGTGACATGGAGCGTGCCAAAGGACGTCCTGCCAGGGGACGTCCTAAAGGACGCCCCGGGGGACGTGGCAACGCACGCGCCAGGGGGCGTGGAAATGGACCCGACACGGGTCGGTTAAGGGGAACGCCAAAGAATGGAGCCCATGTAAAAACACACGAATGGCCCACGAAGACGGAAAGGAATTTAGAAGCGCGAAGCATGGCTACATGTTCAAGTCGCCTGATTAGGCTGCAAGCAATTGCAATGCTGAACATATCGATCGTGATGTACCGTGCCAAATATTGTGCTGTGCTGTGCTGTGCTGGCGAGATGTGTCATGCCGAAATGACTTGCGTTGTGCTCTAAAGTGTTGTGGATCAAGTCGCCCTTGGCATCCGAATCCTAACCGATCTGATCTGGATCTTAAGCTGGAGCTGCCTGACCGCACAGCTGGCCCAGAACTGGATGCAGTCGAAACGTGTGGGACGCTCAATCAGCTCAACGTGTGGAGCGCACTAAGGGATGCGCCAAAGGAAGTGTCAGGGGGCGCGGCAAGGGACGTGCCACGGAACGGGAAACGAAAGCGCCAGGGGACAAGCCAGGGAACGGGACAGAGGACGAGCCAAAGGACGCGCCGAGGGGGGAAGGACATGCGCCGCCCCGCTCTGGGGCGTTAGGAACCCACATGTTTACGTGCCCAGGCCACTCAGGAACGGATCTCTAACATGTGGAAGTGAAAACACGAGGTTCCAGATCGGTGCAACCATGTCAGATACCGCCCGGGGTGGCCTGGACACGTACGAACACGTTGATCCAGCTCGTGACCACCACGCTGGAACCCCCCTCTGGGTGGGCTGGGCACATGAAAACAAGTGGTTCCAGCGAGAGGCAACCATGTTAGATACCCCCCTGGGTGGCCTGGACACGTGAAAACACGTGACCCCAGCTCGGGGCCACCATGCCTTACACCCCCCTGCGTGGCCTGGACAAGTACAACCACTCAGCCCCAGCTTTGGACCACCACGTTAGATATCCGAAAGGGATGTCTGGGAAACAACCAGCCGAAGAAACTGCGTCAGAGTATTGCACGTCTGGTGTAGCTGTATTGCTTTTGTCTGACTTTTGTGCCCCACGCTGGGAGCGCCCCAGCGGCCACACATTATATACCCGCGCGTTGGCTGGCCCATACACGTAAAAATACGTGGTTCCAGCTCGGTGCAGCGATGTCAGACACCCCTCTGGATGGCCTGGGCATGTGAAAACACGTGGTTCCAGCTCGGGGCCACCATGTTAGATACCCTCTGGCTGGCCTGGACACGTGAAAGCACGTGGTTCCAGCACAGAGCAACAATATTAGACACCTTCCTGGTGGCCTGGACGCATGAGAGCACGTGGTTCCAGCGAGGGGCAAGACGCAATCATCTTAGATACCCGCCCCTGGACGGCCTCGACACGTAAAACACGTAGTTCCAGCTCGGGACCACCATGTTAGATCCCCCCCTGGAGTGGCCTGGAAGCGTAAGAGCACATGGTTCCAGCTCGGGACCACCGTGCTAGATATCCCTCGGGGTGGCCTGGACACGTGAATGCACGTGGTTCGAGGTCGCGATAACCATGTTAGAGACCCCTCTGGGTGGCCTGGATGCCTGAAGACGTGTGCTTCCAGCTCGGGGCAGCCGTGCTGGAGACCCTCCCGGGGTGGCCTGGGCAAGCAAATCCTGCTCCAGCTCGGGACCACCATGTCAGATTCCCCAGGGGGGAAACCTTGAGCATCACCTGCCGAAGAAGTTTTGTTGTTGTTGTTGATGTTGATGTTGTTGTTGTTGTTGTTGTTGTTGTTGTTGTGTTTCTTTTGCGCGGGAGAAGTTGTGCCAACTCATGATGCACCTGGTGTCGCTTCGCTGACTTTTCTCGGGCGCTCGTGGGCCCCGCGCCGGGGGCGCCCAGACGACCACACTGCAAGTGCCCACCGCGTGGGTCGCCCGCACGAAAACCACGTGGCTCCACCTCGGGGCAACCACGTCAGATACACCCCTGAGCGGCCTGGGCAAATCGAACACACGCGGTTCAGGCTCGGGACTGCCCGTGGGTGGCCCTCACGTGTAAAAGCACGTGGTTCCAGCGCGGGACCACCATGTCAGATGCCCCCCCTGGGTGGCCTGGGCGCATGAAATTGCACGGTTCCATCTGGGGACAACTATGTTAGATACCCCCTGGGCGACCTGGGCACGTGAAAACAACAATTTCGCATGAGACATCCTCTGAATTCTGCCCCAAAGGAAAGGAGCAATCCAAGGACTAAGCACGAACTTTCGTTTGAGACGTCCTCAACAAACTAACCAATGTTCGATCGATCGGGATTTACAAAAAACAGCGTTTCGCTCGGGACGGTTTCAGATTTTAATCAGCTGGCCCTCTTTGATCTCGTTGTTCACCGCAACTAAATCTGCTGGCCCTTTTCGAACCTGGCACCGGGGACAGCTCACCCACTAAAAGAAAACCCTGGGCTGAAGCCCTTTGCGGGAACATGGTCTCAACTCACGAGCGCTAGGAACCGCGTAACATGATCGACCCACGAACCCAGACACGGGAGCTAGACCTGCGAGGCCCAAGAACCTTCCGAGCAAGCCGATTTGGCGATGCGCAGTGGCAATGCTGAAGACAGCACTGGTGATGCTCTGCTGTGCCATGGAGCTGTGTTGTGCCACTCTAAAAAGAACCGAACTTTATACACCGATGCTTGTGTCCGGTCCCGCACTGAGATTCGCACAAGAAAATTGATTATGGTGTATATGTGGCATCCTGGTGTATACATTTTTTGTAGTTTCCACGGGAGAACGGGGAAACAAGTATACACCACACCACCCCGACGTCGTCCCCGCCCCTCAAAAAAAGTCCTGGGGCTGAAAAACCGCCCGCCACTGGCAATGCACCTGCTCCAGTCTCCGAACTCTGCCCCGCGCCGGAGCGCACGGTGGCGTGCAGGGGGGGGCGCGCCACGGTGCGCGCCGGCGGCGGGGGGACGGGCTCAGCAGCCGCAGCGAGAACCCTGGGCCGACGCCCTCTCCGCAGACACTACGATCCGTCAGCGCGTCCAGGGCTCGGCGGTGGACAGACCTCCCTTTAGTAAACCTCCCCTCAGTGAAAACGGCCTGGGGCCGAAACCGACGGACCTGGACCCGCAAAAGTCACAGCCGCGACGCCCTCTCGCGAACCGAAAACGGCCAATTCCTTAATCGACGTGTCAGGGTAGGAGGTCTACCCACCTCCGAAAGGCCGCGATCCCTCATGACTTGCACGCCGGTCGGAAGAAGTAGGTAGAAACATGAAGTAGGAAGGCGGATACAGTGGTTTGGGTCCAGGTCCTCCCAGAGAAGAACAAAACACAGCAAAAGCATGTCGATTCTTGAAGTAGGAGGGCGCGTGAAGTAGATTGGGATCTGGGAATCCAAAAAATACCTACTTTCAACGACTGGCGTGTACGTTGGATTCGAGCTCTCAAGGCCACGGCTTATGTCGGGCCTGTCCCCCTACAGGGGGATTTTCGACGAAAAATTAAACATACCCCAAACATACTCCCAAAGGTCAAAAAAATACTACAAAAATAGTCCCCAGACTATTTTCGAACTATTTTTTGATTTTTTGGGTATTTTTTCAAATTTTCGTCGATCCCTCTGTAGGGGGACAGGCCCGACTTAGGCCACGGCTCCGTGTACGACACGTGGAAGTCGCGCTCCCGGGGCCGCGGCCCCTCCCAAACCTGCACTTGCTTCGCGCATCCAGGGCCACGATCCCTGGTCCATGTCGCTATGCTCGCGCTCTGAGGGCCACGCGATCCCTCTAAAATTGCACCGGCTTCGCGCTCTCGAGGCCACGACCCATCGCAAATTACGCTACGTCCGCGCTCCCAGGGCCAGGATCCCTCGCAGATTGCATCGTGTCCGCGCCCGCAAGGCCAGGCTCCCTCGTAAGTGACACGGTCTCCGCCCCTCCATGGCTAGGACCCCTTGTCACTTGCGCTGCGTCCGCGCTCCCGGGGCCGGGATCCATGGCATCCGCAGTCCCATGGCCGCGATCCCTGGCAAACCGCGGTGTGCCGAAACGGGGGTGACGCCCACGTCTGAGCACTGCCACTGGCGCCCTCGGTGGTGGAGCTCCCCTATGGGGCCACGAAGCGTGCGAGGGGTGCACCGAAACGGGGGTGAGACGCACACACGCGAACGGCACGACTTTTGGGCCTTCAGGTGGAGGTCCCTACGGGGCAGCGAAAACGTGCGAGGAGTGAGCCATCCTGGGCAGCCCGGGGCGCCCCGGGCCCCGCAGGTGCTGCAAAACGAGCGCTTCGCTGGAGACCTCCTCGGGGATTCCTGCGCGCGGGGCGCGCCATCCTCGATGGGGGCACGCGCGAAGCCTACCTTCATCTTTTTCGGAAGCTGGAGGAGGAGGAGGAGGAGGAGGAGGAGGAGGAGGAGGAGGAGGAGAAGGAGGACGAGTGGTAATAGTAGCTGTGGTCATGTTTTTGGTGGGTGAAACGGCAGTCTGGTGGGTGTGTCTGTCTGGCACGGCAGGGCGGCTGCCAGTTTGCCGCCCCGCCTTGCAGGATGGGGGTTTTCTTCATCGAGGATTCTGCGCACAGCGCTCCTCATCCTCTGCTTCACCAAGGGGAGCGGTGGTCTGCGGACTTCGTTCTGTATCGAGGATCCGATCTGGGGGGGCGCGCACTTTCCTCGAGAGGGCACGCGCGACGCGCTTTTTGTCAAGTGAGAATCACACTTCACATGGTTTTGTTCGAGCGGAACTTCGCTGCAGCGACCCGGGAGGTGAACCTTCTGAAAGAGAACCCTGGGCCGACGCCCTTTCCGGGAGGAGTGCAAGAAGACCTGCCCCAAAATCCAGCGCCTCGAACCTGCCCACTCGTCCTGCTGCCTGGAACCACTGCTGCGCCACCCCAGCCGAGGAGGAGGAGGAGGAGGAGGAGGAGGAGGAGGAGGAGGAGGAGGAGGAAGAGGAGGAGGAGGAGGAGGAGCATCAGGAAGGGGACGCGGATGATGAAATGCCGCGGGCTGCCTGCTGGTCGGGCTCCTCAACCGCGGCCGCCTGCTCCTTGGGCTCCGCGGGCTGCCCGTCCTTCTCCGACCTGCACGCCTGTGAGGAGCGGAAGGCGGGGGGGGGATAAGGGACGATGCCGGTGGTGAGGAGGGAGGCTAGGAAACAGCTACTGGGAGGCTTCCGCCGGAAAAAATAACGAGGATTAAACCCCATTTGGGAGCTGTTACGCCGGAGTGGGCCTCGGACTAAGCAGGATTAAGCCGGATTAAGCGGGATTCAGCGGGATCTAACCGGATTTAGGCGGGATTAAAATGGAGTAAGCCAGATTTCGGACCAGGGCGAAGACAGAATTAGACCTCCCGGGAGTTGCATCCGAAGGTGAGGAGGGGGATCTTGGAAACGCCGGGGCGTTTTTCTTTTCGCTGCCAAAGGTCGGAATTTTCTGTTCCGCTCTCTGCGCCGTTCTGGTATGTTCTCAGGTCTGGAATTGGCCCGTGGCCCACCTGCTCGCTTTCTTTGCGTGTTTAACCAGTCAGGTATCACAATGCCGCCTGCCTGACATTCACTTTCCAAGGTGTCGCTTTTTTAAAACGTGTTGATCGAGTCTAGAGCAACACGTGGAAACATGATCGACCCACGAACACGGAAAGGAATATAGGAATGTAGGCCATGGCAACGTTTCAAAGACACCTGATTGGGCGACGGGCAAATGCAATGCTTAGTGTATCGATCTTGACGTACCGTGCCGAGGGCTGTGCTGTGCAGCGCTGTGCTGAATTGCGATGTGTCATGCCACGATTGTGTTCTATAGCGTTGTGGATCGAGTCCTCCTTTGCATCCGGGTCCTGACCGAACTGATCTGGATCCTGAGTTCGAGCTACTTGAGCACATAACTAGCAGCTGCCCCAGAGCTGATTGACAGGGGTACATGCCCCGAGGACGCGCCGCGGAACGTCCCAAGGGACGCGCCAGGCGACGTGCCAAGCGACGTGACCAGGGACGTGCCAGGGGACGCGCCGCGCGACGTGCCAAGGGGATTCGCCACGGGACGCGCCACGGAACGTGCCAAAAAACGTGCCAGGTTGGAATGCTGAGTGTATCGATCTTGATGTACCGTGCCGAGGGCTGTGCTGTACTGAAACGTGCTGAACTGCGATGTGCCATGCCGCGATTGTGCTTTCTAGTGTTGTGGATCGAGTCCTCCGTTGCCTCCGAATCCTGACCGAACTGATCTGGATCTTGAGATCGAGCTGCGTTTGCACGCAGTAGCTGCCCCAAAGCAAATTGACAGAGGAACGTGCCAGGCATACGCGCCGCGGAACGTCCCAAGGGACGCGCCAAGCGAGGCGTCAAGGGACGTCCCATGGGGACGAACCGCGGGACATGCCACAGAGACGCGCTACGGAACGTGCCAATGGACGTGGCGCCGGACGTGCCAAGGGACGCGCCGCGCGACGTGCCAGGGGGACTCGCCACGGGACGCGCCACGGAACGTGCCAAGGAACGTGCCAGGTTGCAATGCTGAGTGTATCGATCTTGATGTACCGTGCCGAAGGCACTGCTGTGCTGCGCCGTGGTGAACTGCGATGTGCCACGTGACAATTGTGCTCTATAGCGTTGTGGATCGAGTCCTCCTTTGCATCCGAATCCTAACCGGACTCATCTGGATCTTAAGCTCGAGCGTGAGCGCATAGTAGCTGCCCGTGCGCGGATTCACAGGGGGGCATGCTAGGAAGACGCGCCGCGGAAAGTTCCAAGGGACGCGCCAGGCGACGTGCCATGGGACGTCCCATGGGGACGCACCGCGGGACGTGCCACGACGGAACGTGCCAATGGACGTGGCACCGGACGTGCCAGGGGACGCGCCGCGCGACGTACCAGGGGGACTCGCCACAGAACGCTCCACGGAACGCGCCAGGTTGCAATGCTGAGTGAGTGAATCGATCCTGATGTACCGTGCCGAGGGCTGTGCTGTGCTGAGCCGTGCTGAACTGCGATGTGCCATGCCGCGATTGTGCTCTATAGCGTTGTGGATCGAGTCCTCCTTTCCATCCGCGTCCTGACCGAACTGATCTGGATCTTAAGCTCGAGCTGCCTGAACACTTAGTACACGTAGTAGCTGCCCCAGAGCTAATTGACAAGGGAACGTGCCAGAAAAACGCGCCGCGAAACGTTCCAAGGGGCGCGCCAGGCGACGTGCCAGGGGGCGTGCCACGGGGACGCACCGCGGGACGTGCCAAGGGGGCGCGCCACAAAACGTGCTGGGGACAAGCGTCGTGTTGGTGGCCTGGACACGTAACACGGTGCCAGCTCGGGACAACCATGTTAGATACCCCCTGGGTGGTCTGGACACGTAAAACCACGTAGTTCCAGCTCGGGACGATCATGTTAGACATCTCCCTGGGTGGCCTGGGCATGAAAAAAAGCTGGCGGTCCCAGCTCGGGACAGCCATGTTATATACCCCCTGCGTGACCTGGATACGCTGAATTCGCGCTCCCGCTCGAGACATCCTCGCAGCGTCTTCCCTGGAGAGGCCCCGACAGCGCAACCCCTGTTCAGAGCAGGAAACCGTCACTTGTCTGTTTGGGGACATGTGTTCGGGTAGCGCTTTTCGGCCCCCCGTGCGTTTCTTCATAATTCGGCGTTGGGCCTGGCGCCATGTTGGATACCCCAACTCTGCGCAACCAGCGTTTCGCTCGGGACATCCTCGACGCATTCTGAAAAGAACAAGCGTTTCGCTCGAGACATCCCCCCCCCCAACTCTGCAAAACCAGCGTTTCCTTCGAGGCATCCTCGACACATGTTGAATTATACGTAAAACACACTGATTCGTGCCCCTGGAGACGGCCGATCTATGGGAACGCACGTAATCCTGGAGAGGGCCAACCTATGGGAATAGACGTAAGAAGCGCACGAACTCGTGCCCCTGGAGAATGCCAATCTATAGGTAATGAGAGGGCCCATCTATAGGAACATACGCAACGCACACGCGTGCGTGCCCCTTTTTTGCATCGCCTGCGCGGCGCTCGCTGCGAGCGCCGACCGCTCTGGAGGATCGGGCTGGCGGCAGCCATTCTTATTGAACAGCCCGCGAGAAAAAGTGCAAAGGCATATCTCTCGAGCGTTGCCGCAAGCCGAGCCTCACGCTCCGCCAAGCTTCCTGCCCGTCTTGGGGTCTCGGCCCTGGCGGATATTCTCAATCTTGAGGTTCCTCATCCTCAGAGCATTGCCCGACACCACCTCGCAGGTCTTGACCAGCGAGCGGTGCTTGCCTTTCACCTCCTTGGCGTAGGCTGTGCATCTGGTGCAAACTCTGTAGCCGCCCGTGCTGATCAGCTGGTGGCCACCGCCGCTGGCCGCCTCGGTGCTGCCAGACCCCGCACGCGCAAGAAAATCTACCTGCACCCCGCTGCCGTTGCCCCTAGCGCTGCCGTCAGTCGTGGCAGGCGCTAGGTCGTGAACAGCTCCAGGGAGGTCGTCCCGCGTACTGCTTCGCCTCACGCCGCCGTCGGTAGTGGCAGGCGCAGGTCCGTGGGCGTCCTGCGTGCCGCCCGCCCGCTCGCCGCCGTCGGACGTGGCGGCAGCTGGGCCCTGCGCGGCGGCAGAGGGGTCGGTCTGCCTACCGCGCGCGGCTGCAGGGGCGACGTCCTGCGTGCCGCTGGCCTCGGCCTCGAGGCGCCTGGCTGCCGCCACCGCCACCGCCACCGCCATGAACCGCAGGGAATGCCAAAGCCGCTGGCCTGCGGCGCGCTCCGCTGGCGTCGGCAGCGAAAGACTTCGGACAGCCCGGGTCGCCTAGCTAGCGCTTGGCCGCCTGGGCCGTGAACGCCGACCTGAAGCAGACCCTGCAGTGAATACCTCCGCCCGTCAGCATGATGGGATCGTGCCTGGTGATGGTCAGCTGAGGCCCCTTACGCTGCTCGTGAAAGTCGAGATCCACGTCGAGCTTCATGTTGGCAGCCTCGTACCAGCCCTGGCCACCCAGAAGACCACCCCGTCCAGCGTGAGCGCGCGCCGCTGCCACGCCTGTCTGAGGTCACTCGGGGCCCGCACAGCATCAGCCACAAACCTCGCGCACCTGTCGGCCTCCATGTTGCCGCGGCGGTCCCTGGCAGAGATAACCCCCTCGCGCACATTCATCACCATCGCATGCGTGCCCCTGGATGGGGCCAATCTATGGGAACACACGTATTCCTGGAGAAGGCGAATCTATAGGAATATACGTTAAACCACACGTATTCGTGCCCCTGGAGAGGGCAAATCTATAAGTAACGAAAAGGCCCATCTATAGGGACATACGTAAAAACACGCAGATACTTACCCCTGGGGCCAATATACAGGCATTACGTAATCCATGCCACTGACCAAAACGTGTCCCGCACCCTGTGATTTATCGATGGCGATTTCAAAAACCAGCGTTTCGCTAGGGACATCCTCAAATTTTAATTGGCCGGCCCACCTCGACCTCGATATTTTTCGCGAAAGAAATTCGCCGGCCCACCTCAAGTCAAAACCGGAGGTAAACCACCTAAAAGAGAGCCCTGGGCTTATGCCCTTTCTGGGAAAAAGGCAACATGATCGACCTCCGAACCCAGATCGGAATTTAGACATGCGAAGCGTGACAACATCTTCAAGACACATGGTTGGGCGACGGGCATCTGCGATGCTGAACATATCGATCGTGATGTACCGTGCCAAAGGTTGTGCTGTGATGTGCCGTGCTGCATTGAGATGTGTCATACCGCGATGAATTGCGTTGTGCTCTATATGTGGATCAAGTCGTCCTTAGCATCCGAATCCTGACCGGTCTGATCCGGATCTTGAGCTCGAGCTGTCTGAGCGCATGGCTGGCCCAGAACTGGCTGGTTGCTGACGGAACGTGTGGGACGCTCAATCAGCTCGAGCTCACGATCCGACTCAGTTCCGACGCGGGACGAAACGACACGGGGCGCAGGGCGCATGGACGCGCCACGGGACGTACCAGGGTCGCACTGGGGGATGCGCCAGGGGACGTGTCAAGGGAGGCCGTGGACGTGTCGGGGACCTGCCACGGGACGTCCCAAGGCGTGCGCCGTGGTGCACACCGGAGGACGTCATGCCAGGGGACGTCCCGGAGGACGCCCAGGGGGACGTGACCACGGACGTGCCAGGGGGCGTGGCAGGGGATGCGCCGCGGAAGGGGCAGGGGAAGCTCCAGGGGGGCGAGCCAGAGCACGCGACAGAGGACGAGCCATGGGGGCGCGCCACTGGACGCGACGGGGGGCGTGCCAGGGGTCTTGCCACGGGACAGCGGGCGCGCCAGCGCTCCGGGGGGCAGCCCACGGAACGGGCAGGGGCCATATGCACAAACAGAGGAGCTGGGCTCGCGGGCGAACGGAACCGATGCGGCAAGATCGACCCACGAACCCAGAAAGGGATGTAGAGTTAGGTCGGGCCTGTCCCCCTACAGGGGGATTTTGGACGAGCAATGAAACATACACAAAAAATGCTCAGAAGATGCCCCAAAATACTGAAAAAATAATCCCCAGGCTACTTTTTTCTATTTTGAACATTCCCCCTGTAGAGGGACAGGCCCGACTTAAATGTAGAGATGTGACGCATGGCATCGTTTCCGAGACGTCAAAATTGGGCGACGGGCAATTCGAGCGCTCAAAATAACGATCGTGATGTACCGTGCCACGGGCTGTGCTGCATTGAGCCGTGCTGTGCCGTGCCGTGCTGAGTTCAACGTGTCACGCCGCGTTGAATCGCGCCGCGCGCTATCGCATTGTGAATGAAGCCGTCCTTGGCGTCATAATCCTGGCCGAACCGGTTCGGATCTTAAGCTCGAACAGCCTGAACACATATCTCGAACTGGTTGCAATCGAAACGCGCGGGGCGCTCGACCAACTCGAACTCAAGATCTGATTCAGTTCCGTGATGGGACGAAGCAAGAGGGGGCGACTCCGAACCGACGCGAATCTCAGCGAGACTGGACGGACTGAAGCGCGGCGAACCAAGACGCGAAGAACTGCATCAACACAAACCGAAGCAGTACGAATCGACAAGAAGGCCGAGCCGACCCGATTCGAGGAGCGACACGACAAACCAAGACTGGACGAGCCGAACACGCTTCGGCTCACCATCCTGAAACTGCATCACGATCCATCGTAAATTACGCTGCGTCCGCGCTCCCCAGGCCACGGTCTCTAGTAAGGTACGCTGCGTCCGCTCTCCCTGGGCCACGGTCCTTTGTAAACTACACTGCGTCCGCGCTCCCAGGGCCGCGCTCCCTCGTGAATTATGCTAGGCCCGCGCTCCCAGGGCCACGCCCCCCCCCCTTGTCATTCAAACTGCGTCCGCGCTCCCAGGGCCACGATCCACCGTAAATTGCGCTGCGTCCGCGCTCCCACGGCCACGATCCATGGTAAATTGCGCTGTGTCCGCTCTGCTTGGGCTACGATCCCTCGTGAACTAAGCTGCGTTTGGCTTCCAAGGCCGCTCTCCGTTTTGAATTCTGCTGCATCCGTGCTCCTAAGGTTAAGTCGGGCGTGTCCCCCTACAAGGGGATTTTCGACGAACTATAAAAATACGCAAGAAATGCTCGAAAATTGCTAAACAAATGCTACAAAAATTGTCCCCAGACCATGTTTGTACAATTTTTGAAGATTCCCCTCTGTAGAGGGACAAGCCCGACTTAATCCTAAGGCCACGTTCCCCGATACATTACGCTGTGCCCGGGCTCCCAGAACCACCTGGGCATCCTGGAGCGCCCAAGCCCCTCAACTTCTGCAAACAAAGAGGTTTCGCCTGACGCATCCTCGAACATCCTGCACGCAGGACGCGCCATCCTCGAGCGGGCATGTTAATTTATAGAGGATTCTGCGGAACACGTTTCGCACCCAGTCTTTTTTTACGACGGACACTGAAGGTCACCAGACCTCGTCATTTGTCGCGCATCCCACATGGGCCGTCCATTCTCTTCGAGCGGGCCCGCGCGAAACGCATTTGCCCACGCCGGATTTGACTTTATCTACTCCAGATTTCGTAAGAAAGGGAAGGGGGTCTCATTTCGGGGGGGGGGTCTCTTCCAGGCTATCTTGGAGGGCCTGAGGGGGTCTGGGGACGATGTTTTGGAGGGTTCTCCCACGGGGGGGGGGGTCTAAAACTTTTCGAATGGGAGGGTTGAGACCCCCTCCCTTTTATTACGAAATCTGGAGTGATTTCCATCGAGCGGAAGTTCGCCGGCCCTCTTGAGGTCGTCCCCGGGGGAACCTCTGAAAGAGAGACCCCTGGGCCTCGGCCCTCTGCGGGAATCGCGCCCGCCCCTGCCCTCTACCAGCAGGCCCCCGCAGGCACCGCGCCCTCCCCCCCCGAAGCCACGAACCTCGCAACAGAGCAACGGGTCCGCGCGCGCTCCCGAGGCCACGGCCTCGCGCCGGAGCTTCCGAAGCGGCCCGTGCAGGCAACCAAAGACACCAAGGTGACCCGATAGGCTGCGACGGCGGCCCAAGGCGGCCCCAAGGCGGCCGTGGCCTCAAGACGGCCCGCAATGCCTCCAGCACGGCCGCACAAGAGGACCTCCAACAGGGCCCGAAGCAATCAGAATCATGTACGTGCCGTGGATCTTTGGACGATTTTCGCACTCTCACATTTCAGGGCTTCCGTCAGCTCAAGACGGCTCAATCAACTACCACGATGGCCCCAAGACTGCCCCACAGGCCCCCAATATTGTTCCACGAGGACACCACGATGGCCCAAAAGGCATCCAAGACGGCCCCTGGATAACTAACGAGGGCTTCCCGAGTCGAAAATGCGATGGCAAGCCGTGCCATAGATTTCGCTTTAAGGAGGTTTTGGTGCCCTACAACTTATCCGTGCACTAGGTATGAGCGGGCCTGCAAGAAATACGACACGGGAATCGATGGTGCATCGTCGAGAGGAGCGAACGTCTTTTCCTGTATTCGGATGCCATTGTGCCTCGTGTATGAGGTGATCAAATTGGCACATTGAGCGGCGCCACTTGAGCCCAAACGGCGTCGGGACGCAGGCGCGTCGCTCGTATCTCGCCTTTGACTTCCGTTCAAAGTCAGGAAGGGGGGTCGACCGACGGGCCACGTCAAGCTACATCATCTCTGAAATGTAACAGACGAGGCCGGCAAAAAGACAACATCGCGGGCAACCTTCTTGCGTTGGCAACAAGGTCTCCGAGATATAACTACGCATTGCTGCAATAGGGGCCAACCATGGAAAACGTCACATTCCACTGGCGCAGCAGTATACGCAGAGGGGCACACCCACCGCTCCAACCGAGCCAAGACACACCCATATGGTGCGAAACGTCACGACCATGATGTAATACCGCTGTTCGTGTTGTCATGGCCGTCACGTTTATATGCTGATGTGTCTGCCAACCTGTATTGATAGACGTGGCCGTGGGCCTTCAGATCGGTGTTGGGTGCGTGTTGGTATATTGCGCCAGTCCGCGCCGTGGGGAGATGGGAACACATAGGAAATAACAAACTTGTTGATGGTGGGTAGGATGGTGATGGCTTCTAGTCGTGGCATACACGTGTAAACCGACGTGGCCGTCGGTAGATATGATGTCGCATAATAGGCGTGAAGGCGGCGCAGTATGATGTAGCAGATGAGAAGTAGTCCAACATTCTGTGCCGTGGAATACGGGCACTAAGGTGAAGCCAACCACGTGAAGATGAGGCCAACTCCGCTACCATGAAGAAAATGGTATGGCAAGCAGTACCGTAGATCACGCTTTAAAGCGTATTACAATACTCCATGGCTTATCCATTCAATGAGTGTGAGCGGACGGGCTGGAGATGATACGTGGGAATCGAGTATGCGTCGTCGAAGGAAGCGAACGTCTCCTTTTTTCCGCTGCTCGGATGCGGTTGTGCCTCACGTGTGAGCCAGTCGAACTGAGCGGCGCCGCTTGCGCCCCAGCGGCGTCGGGACGCAAGCGCGCTGCTCGTACGTCGCCTCTGACCTCTGCTCCAAGTTCCCTTCGAAGGCCACCGCTTCCGAAGGCCACCGCTCCGAGCCTCCGAGAGGAAAGCAGTTGGGCCGAGGGAGAGGAGGAGGAGGAGGATCGAGGAGGAGGATCGAGGAGGAGGAGGAGGAGGAGGAGGAGGAGGAGGATCGAGGAGGAGGAGGATCGAGGAGGAGGAGGATCGAGGAGGAGGAGGAGGATCGGAGGAGGAGGAGGAGGAGGAGGAGGAGGGGAGGAGGAGGAGGAGGAGGAGGAGGAGGAGGAGGAGGAGGAGGGGGGAGGATCGAGGAGGCCCTTCGAGGGCCCAAGAAAGCCCCAAGGCGGCGTCAGAGGGCCCGAGACGGCCCAAGGGGGCCCCAAGGGACCCACAAGGCTGCTTCACAGGAGGCCACGGCAGCCCCAAGACGGTCCCAACGAGTCCAATGAGAGCTCCTCTCCCTCCTCCTCCTCCTCCTCCTCCTCCTCCTCCTCCTCCTCGTCCTCCCTCCTCCTCCTCCTCCTCTCCCTCCTCCTCCTCCTCCACCTCCTTCTCCCTCCCTCCTCCTCCCCCTCCACCTCCTCCTCCTCCTCCTCCTCTTCCTCCTCCTCCTCCTCCTCATCATCATCATCATCATCAGCATCATCACCATTACCATCACCATCCTCATCGCCATCACCACCATCGTCATCATTATCACCCTCATCATCGTCATCATCGCAAGCATCATCATCGGTATCATCCCCACCCTCCTCATAATCACCATCCTCATCACGGCCCTCCCAAGCCTGGAAACACGAGGCGTCACGCGTGATGGCCTCCCGTGCCCCCTCACACTGCTGCCACCCAGAATGCTGGGCTTGCACGGTGGCGGGACTTGCCGCGGGCAACTGCATATTCCATACAAGCGGCGATGGGGGCTCTGCGAACCGGGCTGGATTGGAACAGATCCCGACGCCACAATGGGGGTTCGTGGTGTCATCCCCCAAGCTCCCTTGGCAGAGAACTGAACGATCACTCCTTGCTTGTGCTCTCGAGAAAATGCAGGGCCTGATGATAGAACAGCTGGAAATACTTCGAGAAGCCGCTTCTGTCGTACTCATCCGCGAACCTGCGAGCGTGCGTCCCGCGGGGGCGCGGCGTGCACTGTACGGATGGGGCAATGCACACGGATGGGACACAGCAGCGCCGGATGCGATGGCATGTCCGGTTCTGCACTGTATAGCAGAGCACAGAGTCACGGGGAGAAGTTCCACGATAGAACAGGCAGGGTGCCTGTCGGGGCCAAGATGAGATGGGAGGGATAGAACATGGGAGGCATGCGCTGTGTAGAGGACGGGTCTGCGACTGATAGCCCCGGGTCCGTACCAGCAGCCCAGCTATTCCAAAGGGAAGTGACTTCGCGAGCGCCTGAAGTGCGATGGTGATTTGAAATCTCAGAGCCACATGTAAGTTGGGTTCGGCGAGTCTGGTGCTCTGCACTGCGTGTATGATTTGCACATTGCTGATGACTGCAATGAACGAAGTATTCAGATGCTGCAGGTGGTCAGGCGTGCGCTGTACACAACAAGACTACCTGCGTCTTGAACTCTATCTAGTGTGCATTGCCAGCCATCGTGTCGCCACCACAGTCGACCGTCTGCGCCACCATTCCCTGTTCAACCCAAGCCACTCGCACACACAACACACAGCACACGCAACACACAACACACACACACAAACCCACATCCACACCCACACCCACACCCACACGCCCACACCCACACCCACACCCACACCCACACCTACACCCACACCCACACCCACACCCACACCTGCACCTGCACACACACTCACACACACACCCACACCCGCACCCACACCCGCGCCCACACCAGCGTCCACACCCGCGCCCACACCCGCGCCCACACTCGCGCCCACACCCGTTCACACACACACACACACCCGCACACACACACACACACTCGCGCACGCACACACACACACACTCGCACACGCACACACACACACACACGCACACGCACACGCACACCCACACGCACACGCACACGCACACGCACACACAAACACACACACGCACACACGCAAACACACACACACAACAAAACACACACACACACAAACACACACACAACCACACAAAACACACACACACATAAACACACACATAAACACACACACATACACAAACACACACACAAACACACACACACACACAAGCACACACAAACACACAAACACACACACACACAAACACACACAAACACACACAACACAAACACACACACACACACGCACCCACGCACGCACGCACGCGCACGCACACACACACACACACGCCTTCACGCACGCACGCACGCACGCACGCACGCACGCACGCACGCACACACACATACACACACACACGAACACACACACACACGCACACACACACACGCACACACAAACACACACACACACGCACGCACGCACGCACACACGCACGCACACGCACACGCACACGCACACGCACACGCACACGCACACGCACACGCACACGCACGCACGCACACACACACACACACACTCCCACACGTTCACACACTCACCACACACTCACACACACACACATACGAGTGTTTCCCGGCCTCCTCATCTCAGGGGCCTGCACCTTCCCGAACCCCGCCTGGGCCCATCTTTCCTTCAAGAGCTAACCGCCCAAGCTCTTCCCGCCGTTGGTCCGCCTCACCGCCAGCTCGCCATCACTACGCCCAACACTCCCAACACTCCCAAACCCCTTGTACAACGTTCCTCCATTCCACAGCAAGTCCGCTTCTCCCGCCTTTGCCCCACCTCGCCCCCGATTTCGCCTGGCGCCCACTGGCCTCTGCCTGTCTTGGCTTGCAATCCCCATCGCCTCTTTTTCCCGCTGCCCCTTCCCCACCTCGCCCAGTGCTACGCCCGACTTCCCCTTGCAACTGCCGCGCACGTTCTTCAGGCCCAGCCACCCTGCTGTTCTCGCCCAGCGTGGCCCTTTCGCCACACCCGCCACCCTCTGGCTCCAGTCGCTTCAGGCTGGCCCCGTCTCCGCTGCGCGCACGCCCGCCACCACGTTGAACACCCTCCGACCCCAGCCCATGCCGCTGGAAAACTATTTATTTCGCGTGTCCCACCATGTGGTTCTCTCGCGTCGGGCCGACCCTTCCCGTCGCGACGCGCGCCACCACGGCCGACATGACACGCAAAATGCACTACGACGCCGCTCCAGTGTAACGTGCCGCAGCGCTCGCAGCACGGCGCGCAATGCAACGTGGGAGTACAGTCAACCCGTATAGCAAGGATGCGCGATAAGGACGCAAGGGCCTTGGACGCCCATGTCGAAGCTTCTCGGGCGGGGCGCGGCCAGCGAACAGGGCCGATGGACCGAGGAGGCAAGGATGCAAGGCTACTCTTGAGAAGGTTGCCCATCCTGATTATGCGGGTTGAATGTGCAACATCTTCGGTTCAGTGCACACCGCCAACTCGGCATCTTGGTGACGAGTCTGTCGGTGCTGGTACCAGACAATCTCCTAACACCAGAGAGCTGTGTTCGCAGATCTGGAAATTCGTTCATGAGCATTCGCCGCTCGGGATTCTGAATCAGCTGACCACTTTGGTAGTTGCCCAAACACTTCGAATGATCCCAACAACATGATGGACCCACGAACCCAGAAAGGGATCTAGAACCGCATGCATGGAAACATTTTCACGACACCGTATTGGGCGACGGGCACTTCCACGAGACACCCCGCGAAACATTCCACGAGACACGGGCGACCGTTTCCAACGTTTTCCTGGAAACATTCCACGAGACACCCCGCGAAACAGTCCACGAGACACCCCACGAAACATTCCACGACGACAGGCAACCACTCAACCAAGGCGGTGTGGTCGTGCTGGGAAGTGGTCGTGCTGGGGTGTGGTCGTGCTGGGGGGTGGTCGTGCTGGGTGGGTGGTCGTGCTGGGGGGGTAGTCGTGCTGGGGGGTGGTCGTGCTGGGGCGTGGTCGTGCTGGGGCGTGGTCGTGCTGGGGCGTGGTCGTGCTGGGGTGTGGTCGTGCTGTGGTGAGGTCGTGCTGGGGTGTGGTCGTGCTGGGTGATGGTCTTGCTGGGGTGTGGTCGTGCTGGGGTGGGTGTGGTCGTGCTGGGGTTTGGTCGTGCTGGGGTTTGGTCGTGCTGGGGTGGGGTCGTGCTGGGGTGTGGTCGTGCTGGGGTGTGGTCGTGCTGGGGTGTGGTCGTGGAAACGCATATAGAACCGCATGCATGGAAACGTTTTCACGACACCCTATTGGGCGACGGGCACTTGCAATGCTGAAGGTGGATGGATCGTCCACATGGAGAAGGCACATGGATTCGTGCACCTGGAGAGGGCAAATCTACAGGCACACACGTAAAAACACACGGGTTCGTGCACCCGGAGAAGGCAAATCTCTGGGGCGCCCAGATCCCTCAAGTTCTACAAAACAAGCGATTCGCTCGAGACATCCTCGGTAACTCTGCGGAGCAAGCGTTTCGCTCGAGACATCCTCAACACACGAAAGAGTGGCCCGCACCTTGTGATTTATCGATCGGGATTTCAAAAACAAGCGTTTCGCCTGAGACATCCTCAAATCTTAATCCGCCGGCCCACCTCGACCTCGATCTTTATCAGTGAAAAAATCCGCCGGCCCACCTCAGTTGAGGCACCGGGGACAGGTTTACCAACTAAAAGAGAACCCTGGGCCGGCGCCCTTTCCGGGAAAAACAGAGCCACACAGGAAAGGAACATCGTCGTCCTTCGCGTCCGCCTCCTCCTCCTCCTCCCAACATTCTCTCCCCCTCCTCCTGCCACGCACTCTCCAATCTCCGTCTACTCTCCAGCTCAGCTCGTGCTTCGGCAATGCGCCTGAAATCACTGAGCCTGCAAGCTCTTGCCAACACACCAAAGATGCGTCGCGCCTCTTCAAGATGTGCTCCTCCTGGGTTCCAGCAGGCTGCTCCACCACCGCCATTGCACCGGCGGGGTGCTGCGGCGGCCGGGGAGCGTGACGGCATGCTCGTCTGCTTGACCAGAGGTGCCGAGCATTTGATAGGAATGCTAGGCGAGCCCGTGACGCCTCCCTTCCGATAACAGGTGGTTGCGCAATCTACGTGCACGTGGTAGTGTGACGAATCCCGTGCAAATTCCCACCAGCAAGAGGCACGCGTGCCAGGGATCACACAATCACGGATGTGGGACACTGGGAAATCGAGGTGGTACCAACCTGTGATTGTTTCGGGGAAGCGCGCGAGTGCTGCGACACGCTGAGCTATGGCGTGAAGATCTTGTTATGTCACTGTGAGCTAGTGGCTAGTGGTGTCTCTATGACTCTTCCAGGCCATGGTGCTATTGGGCGTCTCTGGGGCTTCTTGGGGGTCTTGTGTGGGCCCGTCTGGGGCTCTTGTGGGCTGTCTTGGGGCAATCTTGAGCTGTCCTGGGGCCTTTTTGGCCCATCATGGGGACTCGGGGGGGCCAGGGGTACGGCCGGAGCGGGGGGGAGGCATGGTCGGTCGGTCGGAATGAGCAGGCGGGGGGGCCACGGGGCGGAAGGGGCGGGACAAAGTGGTGGCCGGGAAGAGGTGAGGGGGGGCACGGTCGGTCGGAATATGTAGCACCCCGCAATTGCGGATAAGAATGAGGGGGCGGGCGCGGGCGACGCGGGCGTTGTCGAGCCGGCGGACCTCGTGGCCCCCACCTTCCTTGTCGATGGCGCTCTCCTCCTCCTCCTCCTCCTCCTCCTCTTCCTCCTCCTCCTCCTCGTCCTCGTCCTCATCGTCATCGTCATCCTCCTCCCCCACCTCGTCCTCCTCCTCTTCTTCTTCTTCCTCGTCCTCCCTCTCCACCCCTCGTCCTTTCATCATCGTCCTCCCATTGTCGTCCTCCCCCTCATCGGCTTCCATCATCGTCCTCCCATTGTCGTCCATCATCATCATCCTCTCCCTCCTCCCCCTCCTCGTCCTCCTCCTCCCCCTCCTCCCCCTCCTCCCCCTCCTCGTCCTCCTGCTCCTCCTCCTTTTATTGTTCCACAGTCTCCTTGCATCCTCTCTTCTTCCGCGTTCTCCTCGTCCCCTGTTTACTCCTCCTGCCCCCCCTCTTTTCCCAAGAGAACTGCAACGCAATATTTTGTTGCACTTTATGCTCCCCGCCTTCTCTGACCAAGGCAACTCGCCAGTGCAAGTTGCTGGACGGGCTGGTGTGGATGCGCGGGGCTTGAAGAGGTCCTTGCGGGCTCAGACGGCGCGCAAAAATCCGCCGCCGCACTTGTGCGGCATTGGTTTGTTCAGTGAACGTGGTTTAGGTCGCGGGCTCTCCACCTCCACCTGGAAGGAATGCAAAAGCAGCCCGCCGCAGGCGCCAAACAAAATTGTTTGTACACTGAACGTGGTTTGGGTCGCGGGTGGGCCGCGGGTTCTCCACCGGGAACGAATGCAAAAGATGCCCGCCGCAGGCGCCGAAAAATGTGGTTTGTACCCTGAACGTGGTCGCGGGTGGGCCGCGGGCTCTCCACCTGAAACGAATGCAAAAGATGCCCGCCGCAGGCGCCGAAAAATGTGGTTTGTACCCTGAACGTGGTTTGGGTCGCGGGTTGGTCGCGAGTTGGTCGCGGGGTGGGTCGCGGGCTCTCCACCTGGAAGGAATGCAAAAAAAGCCCGCCGCAGGCGCCGAAAATTGTGGTTTGTACCTTGAACGTGGTTTGGGTCGAAGGTGGGTCGCGGGTGGGTCGCGGGGTGGGTCGCGGGTGGGTCGCGGGTGGGTCGCGGGTGGGTCGCGGGTGGGTCGCGGGTGGGTCGCGGGGTGGGCCGCGGGTGGGTCGCGGGGTGGGTCGCGGGGTGGGTCGCGGGGGGTCGCGGTGGGTCGCGGGTGGGTCGCGGGTGGGTCGCGGGGTGGGTCGCGGGTGGTCGCGCGGGTTGCGGGTGGGACGACGACAACAAACAACAACAACAACAACAACAACAACAACAACAACAAGAACAACAACACCAACAACACCAACAACAACAACAACAACAACAACAACAACAACAAACAACAACAACAACAACAACAACAACAACAACAACAACAACAACAACAGCATCAACAACAACAACAACAACAACAACAACAACAACAACAACAACAACAACAACAACAACAACAACAACAACAACAACAACAACAAACAACAAACAACAACAACAACAACAACAACAACAACAACAACAACACCACCAACAACAACAACAACAACAACAACACCACCACCACCACCAACAACAACAACACCACCACCACCAACAACAACAACAGCAACAACAACAACAACAACAACAACAACAACAACAACAACAACAACAACAACAACAACAACAACACACAACAACAACAAACAACAACAACAACAACGATAATCCGCACCGCGGAATTCCACTTCAGCCACGCACCCAGGGACAGTGAATGACCGTTCGGCCCCCTCACTCTGATAAGTAGACGGGGGCCACGGGGCGGAGGGGCGCGGGGGGGAGCAGGATGGCGGGAGGGCACGGTCGGCGGGAGGGCACGGACGGGCAGAAGGGGGGCGGTTCGGTCCGGTGGAATAAGCAGGACGGG